TTGTTGTTGTTGTTGTTGTTGTGCATCCAAGAGAGCAAAAGCGAAATGCACCAAGTAGAGCACGACCACACATCTCACAATTGTGTGAGGATGATGAAGTTGCTTTACTAATGGAGACACCAGAACTATGGAGTTGTGGCTGCTCATTCAAGAATACAACCCTTGCACTATTGATTATGTAAGTTTGCACATCTCTTATATCAAGAATGTCCCCAGTGTCTAAAACCCTGCCAACGTCATGGTATGATGACCGCCTTATCTGAAAGATCCAATTTTTAAAAACTTAAATGCTATCAACTAGAACATAGTACATGCTTGTTTAATCAAATACGCATGGCCAACAAGTGACTAGAACATGCCAACCATATAACACATTTCGTGTAAAGTTGTATGCATGTGTCTTGGATGCAAGTTGAAGAAAAAGCAATAATAATAAAGACATCAGTATCACAAACTATTGAATTGTATGCCATGTCCCATATGTCAAGTTTCAAACTTTTTTTAATGTTATGATTACAAATATACCTGGATTACACGATGTGTGGAATGGTCACATGAATGACAATGAAAACAAAGAGCTCTTGGTGCCACCTCACACTGGGTGCAAAATGGGTTACACTCATCGCGAGTAGCAAGAAAATGGGTTGTGAAAATGGTAAAGAACTGTGTTGCAAGCAATAACTCTAGCCATGAAGGCACTTCCTCTCTTTTCATTGTTAAACCAATGACCTATGATATACTTTATGTCACTGCACATGTTTGTAAGCGAAGGAAATGGCTATATTTATAGGGAAACAAAGGTGAGAAGTTCATTCACTTTTCCTGTAAATTTGGTGGCATGTCGGTTTATAATGAGAAGTAAATTAACCTTTTCCCTAGAATCATTAACTTTCCCCTAAAATCATAGCTAAGAACTAAAACCATTGGCATATGAGAAGTTTGTAATAATTTGCGGCTTTTTGAACTAAAATGGCTATTGAAACTATAGAAAATAATAATGACAAGTAAATCATTACTACAGAAAGTTCATCACCGCCAGTTCCAAACCCCATTCACCGACGGTTTTGGCCATTGTTGATGAAAGTCATTGGTGATAGTCATTGTTGATCACCGCCAGTTTTGAACCGTCGGTGGCATTGTTCATCACCATCGGAGCAGCGTTCAATCCGACGGTGACGTGAAGACAATGCCGATCTAGAGTACCATCCGACGATGATGATGTAGACATCGATGCTGGACCGGCATACCATCCAATGGTGATGGGGGAGACATCAATGTCGATTTGGCATACCATCTGGCGGTGATGATTTAGACATTACATTGGACCGTCTTAGCATCCTGCGGTGATATGTAAGACATCAACGCTGGATGGGTGTACCATCCGACGGTGATGATGTAGACATGAAAGTCAGACCGGCGTACCATCCAGCGGTGATGGGGGAGACATCAACGTCAGGTGGGCGTACCCGATGGTGATGATGGAGGCATCAACCCCGGACAGGCATACCATCCGGCGGTCATGTAGGTAAAAGCGCAGCCGTGCAGTCGGAATTCCACCCGGCAGTAATGAGAGTGGCCCAGCACGGCCATGTGGTGCTCGAAGTCCTTCTTGGACGCGGCCGCCAACGCTGTGGCGTCACACAGCCGCTTCACGGTCACCATGGTGCCGTCGTCGAGCATAGCCCCGTACGCCGTGCCGCACCCGCGCTTCCCTAGCATCTCCGCAGACGCACGCAGCAGCTCCTCCAGCTCGAACCGCCTCATGCCGTCGTTGTTGCAGCTCACGTCCTCCAGAAACACCATCTTCCCATGCTCAAACGTCGCGCCACCAGCACCAGCCGCCGCGATGACACCGGCGGCGCCGTAAAGGCTAGAGGAGTACACTATCTTCTCCCCTATTGGAGGCGCCGGCCGCTCCACCGTCCGAAGAGGCGCTGCCAGAAGTAGCAGAAGAGCAGCCCGGCCACCAGCCCCACCACGGCAAAATTCCTCACCACAATTGCCACCATGGTGGCACGGCTCATCTTCCCCTTGCCGCTGTCGCTTGCCGCCTCGGAGCCCGCTGGCTTCCCCGACAGCGAGGACGCCGCCACCATGGTGGAAGCCGGAGGGCAGTTCCCTGCCGCGGATGCGTTCACCGCCGCCGACGCATTGGGCTACTGCGCCTCATCCTTGCACGGCGGGAGCGGCGCGCTGCAGAGACCGAAGTTCCCGTCGAAGGCCGCAGTCGGGAACGACGCCATCACCGCCGGAATCCTCTCGGACATCAAATTGTTGGAGACGTTGAGCTCCTGCAGCCTCGGCAGCGCAATGGCGTCAATCCCACCGCTGAGCTGGTTGGAGTCTAGCCTTAGGATGAGCAGCCTGTCGAGTCGGCTGAGCGACAAGCACTGAGCAGGATTGCAGCCACACAACTCTCTGAGCACCTTCGCGCCCCTCCCGTGCCCATAAGAGCATAGGCGGGCGCCCCTGAGCCTTGCTCGAAAGGCAAGAACGGCGGGCGAGCGGGCACCGCCGCTTCCCGCGTGCCCTAGGCCAAATGCGTCGGCGCCGATGGAACCGCCCGCTCCCGATGCCGCCACTACCGATGAGGGTTGTTCTGGATGAGGAAGAGTCAGGGGCAGTGTGGTCATTTCTACTATCCTTTTCTGCTTTGGAATTCTTTTAATTCATTTATTCCCTGTCCATTTGACGGACATCCAAAGCAGGGGCAAACGGACAGTTCATTTCAAAATAACAGGGGTAAAAACACAAAGTTAAAAAACAGGGGCAAAATGACAATTGGAGTTCTAGACAAGGGTAAGAACACAATTTTCTAAAAAAATACTCCAACAATCGATTTTTAAGAGCTAGCTCTTAGTATTTTTTCATATTTTAATAGAAGTGAAAGAAAAGCTAGCTTTTCATTAAGAGCTAGGCTCTTACACACACTCTAAGATCACGTGAGAATGGTATGTGGGAATAATCATACTAAGAGTTATTAGTTAACACTATTAGAGATATTGACTTAGAGCTAGTAAATAGCTCTTAGTGTTGCGGGTGCCCTAGGCCCTGTTCGTTTCGCTGATTTGTTGTGAGAAAAAAATAATATAGCATGGCTGATAAGTTCAAGCGAATAGGGCTCCTTGGTTCGAGAAGCTTGCCTGTGGCTTGCGAGGTTTAGTGCGCTCGAACCATTGGAACCATGGTTTTGGTCTAATTTGGAGTTTAATCACCTCCCGTTTGGATTGGTGTGGGGATTGATATGGGTTGTGAGCATTTGTCTGTGGACTAGACTGGTTCGGTGAGACAACGTTTGGATTGGTACGGGGATTGGAGTTAATTTGGAGTTTAATCACCTCCAGTTTGGATTGGTATGGGTTGTGGACTAGACTGATTGGGTGAGGCAGCGTTTGGATTGATATGGGGATTAGGGTGGGTTGGTATGTGGACTAGATTGGTTCAGTGAGGTAGCTATGTTTTAATGGTTTGAGGTTAGTTTGGCTGAGCCCCTTAACAGCTTTAAGCACGCCTTCATGCACCCAATCGGCGGGCGGAGATGATTTCGCTTAACTTCAGTCATTCGGTGCCCATAACAATGGGCTTGCTGTCTTCGTTACACAATACTGTTTGGGCTACAACTGCGGTGCAATAGCCCATCGGTTGTTGTCAGCTATTGAAAATGTGAGACCGTGAGCAAAAAAAATTATTTGCCTGGCTTATAAGTCATGGTACAGTATTTTTCTCTCACAACAAATCAACCAACAATACTTTTCAGCATACCTTTTCAGCGAAACGAACAAGGCCTGGCTGCAACTACATGCTGCTGCTTATATCTGGGTGTGGGTGCTGAAGTGGCAACTCCAGTGAAGCGCTATCGAGCAAGCTGATGGGTAGCATCTGCTTCTATGTTAGCAAAGTTGTTTTTTCCATATATAAAAGATTCTGATGTTTATATAAGTCATTCTAACTTTATTGGACAGTTAAAGTATCTCAAGTTTTACCAAATTTATATGATAAAATAATAATATATATGATACCAAATAAGTATTATTTGAATCTTCATTAATTATGTTTTCATAATATACCTATTTGATAAAATAAATCTTCGCAGGTCTTTCTATGGTCTTGGTCAAAATTTAAAATGCTTTAATTCTATAAAAAAAAGTTATAAAAAAAATTAGAATGACTTATAATTTGAAATAGAGGCATTATATACACTAACACACACCTCGAAGTAAAGTATTTCACTCTAGTAATAAGTAGAGTGAAGGTTCAACACAAGGTACCAAAACACATACGGCCACGTTTCGAATACATAGATGGTACATGTCCAAGAACGAAGAATAGACAGGCAACAGAGCTAAGGAAAGGTACCGTGCGCCACTACGCCGGCCGGTCACTTGGTTCCGGCGCCGGGAGCGTACGCCGCGGCCTGGAGCACGCCGTCGTGGACCTGCGCAGCCACATCGTGGACTGCGGCGGGACCGTGTGGGATGAACACGGTGGCTGCGCGCGACGTCACACCGATGTCCCTGATGGTGTCGAAGTACTGCGAGGCGAGGACCATGTCCATGATGGACTTCTCGTCGGGCACGAACCGGCGCAGGCCCTCCACGATGGCCTGCCGCTGGCGCGCGACGCCCACGCCGGCCAGGTACTTGGACTCGGCCTCCCCTCGGCGCGCTTCACCTGCTGTATCTTGTCGGCCTCCGCGCGCTCCGCCGCCGCCACGCGCAGGCGCGCCGCGGCGTTGATGTCGTTCATGGCGCGCTTCACCACCTCATCGGGCTCGATGTCGACGATGAGCGTCTGCACAATCTCGTAGCCGTACATGGTCATGGCCTTGGCCAGGTCCTCCTCCACGGCCCGCGCCACCACGTTCTTCTGCTCGAACACCTGGTCCAGGTTCATGTTGGGCACGCTCGCACGGATCACTGGATCAACCAAATCGTCCATCATCCATCACAAGAACACATGAACGGATAGACAAACTGATGAAAAGGAAAAATGATGGTTACCGTCGAAGACGTAGGACTGAATCTGCTCCCGGGCGTTGCTGAGTCGGTAGAAGGCGTCGTAGGCCTTGTCGGCGATGGCGCGGTACTGCACGGATGCCACCACCGTGACGAAGACGTTGTCCTTGCTCTTGGTTTCGCAGCGGACGTCCAGCTGCTGCACGCGGAGGGAGAGGTAGCCGGCGACCCTCCGGCCGACGCACCAGGGCATGAAGTGGCAGCCCGGCTGCAGCACCGTGTCGTACCGCCCGCACGTCTCCTCCATGGCCACCGTCGACTGCTCCACGCACGCGCAGCACAGCAGCTGCGGCAAGTCCGCCGAGTGGATCGACGACGACGACCCCGCGCCCATCTCGATTATTGCTCGATGATATGAACAGTGGATGAATTATTGGCGCCTGATGGTAAACTGATCGATCGAGAGGATGCAGACCGTGTTATGTGGAGCGTAGCGGAAGGGAAATTTTTATTTTTTTAGCCATTTTTTTTGAAAAAATTTCACAAATATATCCCTGAAGGTAAAATTTTAAAATCTGGACCCTTAGCTCGGCGCCATCATTACTGGCGCCGAGCTTACACGGCCGAGCTCTTGGGCTCGAAGCAGATGTGGCGGTGACATGGCAGGCTGCTCGGCGCCAGTAACCCTGGCGCCGAGCTTGGCGCCATAGATCCTGGCACCAATCTTGGCGCCGAGCTCGGCGTCGTAGATCTTGACGCCGAGCTTAGCGCCAGGGTTATTGGCGCCGAGCTGCCTGTCATGTCACCGCCACGTCTGCTTCGAGCCCAAGAGCTAATCTTACCTCTAAGAGCATATTTGTGAAAAATTTTCAAAAAATAGCTAAAATATAAAAAATTCCAAAGACTTGGGGATGACAGACACTAGACAAGCAAGTGCACTAAAAATTTTTGTTAAAATCGACACGAACCCTGTGATGACAGACATCCAGGTGCACTAAAAATTCAACACAAAATCGATTGGTGGTAGCCAGTCTGTAGTCTAAAATTCTGAACTCTAGCAAACATATATGATTTTTCTGAACTGAAGTTCAGTTTATATTAACAAACATAAGTGAGTGATTGATTGTCTTCAGACTTCAGACTTATCCGACGACTATAACATGTTCGGGTAAGAAGAATTAGCACGGGATCACTTCTTGGCAGGTAGTCTCTAAGTCTCCCTCTCGGAGATGCCAAACCTCGGTCGCCATCGGGATGACAAGAACCGCAGGCGCTGTCAGTGTTGAATCAGGGCAGGCAATGAGCTATTCAGCTCATAGAATACATGTAAAGGAAGCGACTGACCGGTGAATTCGTCGGCTCGCGACCGTGTTTCATTCGTCTACTGATGGTTACACGTAAGAACACGGCAATATTGCCTTTTACTCGGCTAATTAACCTCTAGCTAGCGGTAACACTTGCAATATCCTCGTTAACCCTATGTACCTATGTCCACCACGTTCGTTTCAGTTTCCTTACATTTCCTATATATATATATATAATCCACCAAACTAATAGCACATTCAAATTCTCGAAAAAAATTAGAAAAATATGAGTACCCATATCAAATCATACCACAATAAACCTACGATAATGATACTGTGCGGGCGTCCGTCCCGTCCGGACAAACCTGCACAGACTCGACCAAGCGCGCAACTCCTCATCCATCCCGCGCCCACTCTCCTCCTCCGCCGCCCCCCCCCCCCGGCTCCAGCAACTCCCACACCCATTCGCTGCCGCACTGCGCGCCGTTCTCCGGGCCGCCCTCGGGACAGACGCTGCACCCGCTCTCCAGTTCACTGCCGCCCCTCCCTCCCTCCGCGACCCCCACCGGAGACGAGGACGACGGCAGTGGCTCCGACGAGGTAGGTCGGTCCTTCTCTGGATCTGAGCCATCCTCCTCTGGATCTGAACGCTCCTCCTCTGGATCTGAGGGGCGTGGCGGTGGCTACGGTTCCGGCGAGCTCTGGGGTCCTATTCTCTCCTCCCTCCGGCGAGCTCATAGGTGATGGGCCAGGGGCTGTTTTCTACGTTTTTTTTGCTGTTTCTCCCGTGTTGCAATGGGTTTTTTTTGGATGTTGCAATAGATGATTTTCAAATATTGCAATGGGATTTTTGGATTATTGCAGCAGTACTTGCACCCACTCGGTGGAATCGACTCATCTTGTACAACTTTTGGTACAACTTGTACAACTTTTGGTAGAACTTCACGCACTACTTGGTCGAATCGACCCAACTAAACTCGATTATCTGAACTACTTGCTCACACTAAGCCAACTTGGTAAAAAACAACGACCCAACTAGCAACTGCACAACTAAAACAACTATATGGGCGGAACCCCAAACGTTGATGCCGAGCACCACCCACAGAGGAACCTGAAGCACCACCATAGCCAGACAACAGGAGCGGGATATCAGAGGGGAGCTGGAAAGCCTCTCGACGCCTTCAAGAATGAAATGATGCCAAAGGCGCCGCTGTCGCAAGCCTAGCAAGGGAAGGTTTTCACCCGCAAAATACCCAGCTGGGCAGGAGATGTACCAGAAGGATGCCTCCAAGGAGGAAACGACGTCCACGGACGTCACCATCCAAGCTTTTGCCAAGATCTCTCTCACACCCACCCCCCGCACCCTGCCCATGCCCACCGCAAGGGGGCCAGACATGAAGGAAGGTGCCATTGTCGAAAGCAGGCTTCCCCGCTGACACCCGATGCCACCACATGTACCGCGAGCATCCTCGCTGCATGCGCAGCCGCATGACAACACCCCCGAGCTTCACCATGGGACTAGCTTGAGCAAGGGGAAGGAAGATGGCGGGGAGGAGAGGGACAGGGATAGTAGAGGCCCCAGCCGCGCCTAGCCTGCCAATGCCCCTACCCCTGCCGAGCAATCCCAATAGAAGCCCAAGCGCATGGGCCTTCCGTCGTCCATGCAGATCAACCATTAGCCGGCGTAGATCCCGCCACCACCTAGCGCTGAGACTGTCGCCTCCTACGGGATCCAGCCAAGGCTGGCCAGCCAAGGGAGGGGGGAGAGGGCTCGGGTAGCCCCCACCGACCACACGGCCACGCGAACATGCCTGACTATGTAATCCATCTTGTATATGTCGGTCCCTGTCGACGAAATATGGTCGGCAGTCCACCGAGGGGGGTGCCCGTGGTGGTAGATTATCGGTAGGATGCGTGTGATCTGGAACCAGATGGTGACACAAGGTGCAGAGACAACGATTTAGACAGGTTCGGGCCGTCTGATCGACGTAATACCCTACGTCCTGTGTCTTTGGTGTATTGTATTGAGATGTATGCTATCTGATCTCTCTGGATCTGTCCTCTAGGGGGCCCTTGCCCCTCCTTATATACTCCGAAGGGACAAGGTTACAAGTAAAGTATCCTATTTGGTACTATTACAATGTCTTGCGGTGCACGCCAAGCAGCGCCGTGCACGCCTTGATCTCACGGGCCGGGCCACCTCGGATGGTGCGGCCCATGTACCATCTTGTGGTACCCGGGGGTCTATCCCCCACAGCTAGTCCCCGAGCGCCATGTATTCTGATGCGACACGCCATTTTAACCTTCTCCAAACAGTGAGGCTTGAGTTCTTGACATCTCCGACCACCGTTGTCGCCGGAGAAGGAGGTTGTCCGAAGAATGTATGGTGCTCTTAAAAAGAAAGAAAAAGATTTCCGTCCTGGAAAGTGTGCCCACTTGTATTTCTGAAAAGAAATGTAAGTGCGTCCCGAAGCGTAGCGTCCTTGATCATCAGAGGCGTAGAGGTCGAAAAACAAACACATTCACCACAAGGTGAAGTGTGCCCACTTAGTCCCCGAGCCTGGTAGTAGGTGACGTAGGCACGTGGTGCCAGGGTCTAAAAAGAATTCCCAGTTATGTTGAGAATCCAACCGTCGTACAGGCGATACAAGATGCACCGGCAGGTGCATCGTACCGATGTAGTCCCCGAGCTTGCGTATGCGAGGCGCCAGTCGCATGTAGTCGAGACGCAAAGTCCCCGAGCACAGGTCGAGGAGCGAGCGACGAAGTCCCCGAGCCGTGGTCGGAGAGTGGTCGAGGCAGTCACCGAGCAACACGAGTCGAGGAAGCGACGAAAGTCCCCGAGCCGTGGTCGGAGAGTGGTCGAGGCGATCACCGAGCACAGTCGTCGAGGAGCGAGCGACGAAAGTCCCCGAGCCGTGGTCGGAGAGTGGTCGAGGCGATCCCGAGCACAGTCGAGGAGCGAGCGACAGAAGTCCCCGAGCACGGAGTAGTCTGGTGAGTCCCCGAGCATGAGCGTGGTCTGGCCAGAGTCCCCGAGAACGAGCGTGGTCTGGCAAGAGTCCCCGAGCACGAGCGTGGTCTGGCCAGAGTCCTCGAGCACCGTAGTGGTCTTGGCGAATCCTGAAGCATGAGCTCGCTGACCGAACTGTGTTCCTGAAAAATAAACACGGAGAGCGGTAGTACATGATGATGTATGAAATATATTGACCTCTCTGTAGGAGGTGAAGTAAACACTTGGTGTTCGGTTGGCGATGAATTATACTTGGTGTAATATTCAAAAAATAACATTAGCTATTTTTAGCCCTTTTGTTATGTAGTGGCGTGGCGCGATGTATTAACTTTGTCTCTGAAGAATGCGCCACTACAGGCTGACCAACATCTCGTGGCGCTTGGTACGGAACGCTGCCGCCGCGCGTAGAGTGCCGGTGTTACCGAGGAGCGATCGCCGACTACCCAGAGCGCGAGGGCGGACTCTCATGCATCGCGTGGGGTGGAGCCGAGATGCGGTCTGGCTCTGGGATTCTCAAGCGTGAAGGAAAACGTATCGGCGAACCGTTGTAAAAACTTATACATGTTTTGGATTGTATGTATGGAGAAAATTCGACGCGGAGTGCACCCTAAGGGTGGTCGGCGGAGGTGTATGATGATCGAAGAAATTTTCAATTAAAAATAATACTTAGCTTTATTGACGACCGGTGGGTGTAGTCGGCGTGTTGCGATGTTCGAGAGATGGCTTGACGTGTCGTTGGCGATGAAGTTGTCCGGTCCTCGAGCTTTTCGACCTGTCGTCATGACTGTGGTCGCGATTGTCGTAGCGCCGTTCTTCGCGGCGATCATCATTGCGACGTAGTCTTGTGGTCGAGGTGGTCGGAGCTCGGCGGAGCTGCTCGGGACGTGGTCGACGTGGTCGCGGTCGACGTGGTCGGAGCTCGGCGGAGCTGCTCGGGACGTGGTCGACGTGGTCGCGGTCGACGTGGTCGGAGCTCGGTGGTCGGAGCTCAGCAACGTGCGGAGTCGTGGCGTAGCTTGACGAAGTCCAGAGCACGGGTTGAAGTTGTCGGCGTCGATCCCGTTGATGTCGAAGTCA